AATCACTAAGGGGAGAAGAAAAAAAATCAGTAGAAAAGAAAAATATCTTATTGATTTGTTCTGCCAAAACCACTATATACATGAAATACTGAAAATGGAGCAGGTCTGTAACTAGTATCAAAGTTTATTTGGTTCAAAAACACACAGAACACTAGCAATGTGCTTTAAATTAAGTACACATTTAAAAGGTTAACAGGACGATTCCTTAGGCAGAAGAACAAAGAGGAGCTGGTAAAAGAAAATTGGGTACACCACAGCTACTTAAATTACTGTATTCAGGCACAAGTCATTTGGATGCCTTTGAGCTCAAAGCTTATTTGAATTATACAGAGGTGTTTTAGAGAACAAAAATACTAACCTGCATTTTATCTAAGCTCTTTCAGCTGAACTGAGCTACTAATTAAAAATCTTTACTACTCTTCCTAATGTCTGATGTACTTTTTTAACAGAGTAATAAAGCCATCTAAAAAATGTGTCCTTCCTTGGAGAAGAGTGTTAACATCAGCATCTCTGAAATGCCTTGTCATCTCCTCGTTTTACTAAAGCATGTCTGCCATCTGCCTTGATTGTACCTCTTGTAGCCAGTCTGAACATCCTGTGCCATGCTGAATGCAATACTGATGCATGTGCCAATTGACAACACCAAGAGAATTCACAATCCAGGTAATGCTTACCTGTTACAGTACCTCTCAAATAATACATTAAACAGATGTGTACCTGATATTATAAATATGTGACATAAAAATCTATTGGGCTGGTCAGTGTACATATTAAAAAACTATTCAAGTAGGTCAAATTGTGGATAACTTAAAACTTTAAAGACAGCAATTTTAATAAAACTGTCAATACAATTTTCTTTGTAAAAACATTTGACACTGATTATGCTGCTTATATTGAAAGAGAAACACAAGGTCTATATCTTTAGATCTTTTATTGAACTGTGAGCGCAGCATCAATAACTGCTTCTCAGCTGTAAATGAAAATTGATTCCAAATCTAACCCATCGTTTTCTGTGTGTCTTTAATCCCAAATCACCCACAATGAGACGTGAGAATCAGCATTCTGTCTATGGGACAAAGCACGTGTGCCATGGCCAGCTCCAGGGTCTGCACTGAGGCACTGTGATGGTGCTCACACGTGTAGATGCAGGTGGGTAAATGCAGCCCCTCCCTGCTGCAGAAGGAGGTGGCAGGAGTTTGCAGCTGGGGTGGAGTCCCTGTAACTGCCTCATGCTCTACTGCAATGACCTACACGGTCCAAAGCTTTACAGGTCTGAAATCTGAAGGCACCTGCAATGAACGTCTCACTGGGCCTCCTGCAGGTTGCAGCCCAAAGAAATTCACTCAACAATTTCTGCATCAAGCCCACAGCTGCCAGAAGGCTAAAAGGAAAAGAACCTAAAATGTTTCCATGCAATTTGCAGCGGTTTGGTGATGCTGTTGAGGCAGGATGGTATGAAAGAACTCCAGTTCAGAAAGCTTGAGAGTAGAACTCTGATTTATTTCAAATACATTGCTCTTTTGTAGAGAGCATCATCCAGACCAATTCTATTGATCCTAAAGTAAAAACATCTCAACCACTGGTGTGCAGTGAATGACGCACAGTGGCAGAACCCATCTATAAACAATGTGGACAGCAAGAGAGACAAAGAATTATTTGCTTTCTTTCCCAACTGTTTCCCAGGCTTCTGCCTGGTTAGAAACTCTCTGTTTTCTCTGACTGAACTGAGAATATCCACAGTTTGGCACTAGGAGTTGAATTTGCAGTCAGCTCTCAGTTACTGAAGCCTCTTAAGCCCTCTGGGGTGAATTACAGTCTCCTTCATCACTTTCTTGGTGATATGTTGCTAGGTCATCATCATGTGTGCCTTAACCAAAATAAACCTAACATTTAAATTAAGGAGAGTCCTCCAAATCAGGAGAATTTAGGAGCAATTTCCAGTTATTTAAAATTCTGTTTGAAAAGGGAATGCCAAAACTGGGCAGCATGATCAGTAACAACCTTGCTGATGCTATTTGTAGAACAAATACCTTCCACTGACTTCAACCTGGTAGTTCCTATCCTATCCAGAAATGAAGCTCAACTTCTCAGTTACATGACTGACAATTGTGTGGTTGTGCTTCTCCTCTGCAGTGGGGAGAAAAGGAAGGCGATCTTTAACACCTGAAGCAGTACAAGGCCCACAGACCCCTGAGTAAATGCAATACAGATCATAAATAATGGTGCTCGTTCAAAGGAGTGAGGGAGCAAAACAGAAGAGCTTTGTTTCTTGCAGCCATGTTTCTAACAATTTTCCATCTTGACAAATGGACTACTGCTAGTCTCAGAACATGGGCTGATAGATCAAACTCTCCCCACATTCTACAGACTTTCACTAAAAGTTGCTTTCCAAGTACAGATATGAATTAGTGTCACTACTGTCCTGTAAAAATTGAAGGGTCCATAGGAATTCTCAAAGGAGAAATCCTAGGGCTCCCTGCTGACAACTGTTCCAAAGAATTTTCATTTCCTTAAAATTAGAGTAGAAATAAAGGAAACAAACTTGATTTTTGCATACTGTGTTGGGGTTTTTTGAATAAAAGTGAGTAAATGCCAGCTCAAGCTTCACACTGGCTGCAGGCTTATAGCAGAAAAAATCATAAAGATAGTAAAGAAAATTATTCCATTTCCTTATAGAAATGCTGCATAAACGTCTAGAATGGTTTTGAGCTAAGAGTTTTAATCTTTTTTCTCCCTGCCAGAATGAGCACATGTGTACACCTGAATAACAACGGTCATTTGACTGCAAAATATTTATGTTGAAAAAGCCCTTGAAGTTACTTTTTTGTTGTTTATGTGTCTGACCAGTGGGTCAGATCAACCTTTCTTCCAATTTCCAATCCCCTCTCCATAAATAGATGTGGCAGAGGCTGCTGAAGTGTAATGAATGAGAGATGCAGCAGAATCCTGCTGCTCATCATTGCAAGGCCTTAGCCTGACAAAAATATAAAGGCAGACACTTATTAATTCAGGAAACTTAAAAAGCTGTGAGCTGTATAATTTTGTCTATACTCTGTAAAACAAATAGAAGAGATGCAACCATACATATGTGGGGTACAAAGGAAAGTGCAGGGCATTTAAGAAATGTTCTCAGTGTGCAGTTGTGTCCAGTTACTTTACCTGGAACCCCTAAGGATACAGGTCAGTTAATAGATGACACCAAATTGGGTAGTCAGCGGTGGGCTTGGTATTACTCAGTTAAGAGTTGGACTTAATGATCTCAGAAGATGCTTTCTAACTGAAATGATTGTATGAAAAAAACTTAAAAATTTTTCTAAGCAGTAAAAAAGTTAGAGAAACTACATGAATGGTCCCTATGGTGCTCTGTTGTTTGTCTGCAGCCTATGCTGTGACTGTGTTATGGGAAGACACGTGGAGCTTTGGAGCAGTCTGAGGCTTCCTGCAGCTCAGACACAACCCCACCACAGAAGGGCCCAGGCTGCAGCCCCTGGCCTGGCAGCAGGGACACTGCTCAGGATGCTGCCTTGGTGAGAGGCACATCCCACACCGACAGCACGGAGGGCTCCAGAGCTGCCAGGACCTCCCTGTGCACTGAGTTCTTTCCTGCTCGGGATTAACATCAGAGATGACATCTGCTCAAGTCATTTGATATCAGCAAACACTGACCCAGGTCTTTGCTTCTCCATTCACCAGTGATAAGGGATTTCATCCTAGCAGTATAAACTGTGTGTCTGTAAATTCTACTTAAGTCACTAGAAAACTATTACTGTAGGAAAACAAGAGTAACTGCTACCTGACAGTATATTTCCATTTTTTATCTTAGGCATCTCAGGATCACAATGTCATTTTACAGGACCTTTTGGGCAAATTTGCAAACCTGATTAGTCATCGTGTTTGCACCACACTGCATTACACAAGTACACGATTTTGACCCTTTGGCTTCAGAAGACACTGTGAGTCTTGCTAGTGCTAAAAAATACTGACATGTATGACTAAGGCATCAACTTTCACCAGAAGGTAAATCTTTCCTGGCACGACCCGAAAGGATGAATTAGGTAGGCTGAAGGAGAACATTTAGGTGGTTTAAAAATAAATAAGAAAGAACGATTGGCCTATAATTAACATTTCCCAGACTGAAGAGATGGTCTTACGCTGAATTATAGCATTACCTTTCTCTCTACTGCAGATGTTTAAACAATTGAGCCCATTGCATATATAAAGTAAAATGAAGGATGAATTTAACACAAAGTTTAATTTTTTTCTGATAAGAATATTGAGAATATGAATTTCAGCAGCTTTCTTTTCCAGAATTATCCATAAATATTTATAAAGTGGGGAGGATAGAGAATGACATGAGCCACTTTTCTGAAAACGATTCTTCATTAATATCCCAAGTACATGGAGAAACTTTCAGTAGTGATTTAGAGCTACATGCTGAGGGCTTTGCCTCTCACAAATGGGAGTCACTGGATTACTGTGGACTCCCAACCCTTTACTCTCTGACTGGAACAAAAACTTACAGACCAAATTGTCATGCGAGGGCTTGTATAAATGGATTGCAAAGTGCAAACAAACTCTGTAGTTGTGCTCTTATGTGGTCCTCTTACACACACTTGCAAAAAGCTCATCAATTCAGAAAATGGGTGCAAAGCAAGAGGAGGCTGTTCCACAGTTAGTTTGGTAGAATGAGGACAGAGATTCAGAACACATTGGCTGTTCCTGGGTGATGCTCTGTGTGGTCTCTAATTCAAAGGTTAATATGTCATATTGTGGTTCAGTTTAATCCACTTCACAAAGTTAACCAGCAAAACTGAAATACATTCCTGTTTGAGAGTGTTTCCTCTAATGAGAAGGAAGTAAACAAGGTTTAAGATGATGGATTCTGCAGCTCACCAAAATGCTTTTCATGCAAATATAGTAAATCAACACACAAACAGATCCAACCAATGAAATAACTTTCTCAGTTGAAATGATCTATGCATTATATTAGATGTATTTACCTGATCATTATCATCTTCATCACTGCTGAGTTTTAGATCATCCTCAAGCATTCTGAAAAAAAGAGAGAAACAATACAGAATTACATTTAATGAATTAACTTCATATACAATGGGCCAAATCTACACCTCAGCAAAGTCAAAGGAAAAACTTTCTTTCCATTCAACAGCAAAACCAGACCTGAGGTAAATAAAGTAATGAATAGTCCATGTATGTATATATTAGTGCTTCTTTGTGATTCTAGGGAAGAACAAATGACTTTCAGACTCATCCATCATAAAGTTTGTCAGTCAGCTGCTCTTTCATGTGCTCTTTTATTTCCACATTGTCTTACAGGGTTTATAACATATACACCTACATGTGTTTCTAAATCAGAAGACAAATTCAGCTGTGAGACTGCTAAAAACTGAGAAAAAGTCATCCATGTATCATTCTTAGTCTGGGGCACCACCAATTTCCTTTCTGGTATCAATCCCTACCTTATCAAACTGAGAATGCAAAGTGGATAATAGCAAGAAGAGGAGGTGTTTGTTTGAGGTCTGATGTGACCACAGAGGTTTTTAGTGTCCAAAGGTAGACCAAACATTTTCCAAGCTTGGAACCTGCCTGTTCATACCCCTATTTTTTTTCCCCATTTATTTATATTTTAAAACAGAGAAATCTCACAGGCCTGTACCCTGCCCTTGGTTAAGGGGAAGGAAGCTCCTAAAAGATGTGGCTGTCTCTATGCCTCCTTCCCTTCCTTTGTCAAGAGTTGAATTGCAAATTACTGTATTAACACCCATATCACTTCAGACCAAGACTTGGGTACAGAAAATACACGGGGTAAGAAACCAGGTTATTTGCTGCTACAGAGACAGAAGAGGTCTCTCATTTGGGGCTCTCTCTACCTACAGAGACAAGCAGTCACCAAATAAGCTCCTGTATAGCTTCCCATATATTCATGCTTTTATCTGAGCTGATAATCATCTGGGCACACTTCTACCTCACACCCATCTTTTCACCTTGACGAACTGTCTTATCACAGGATGACGTATGAATGAATTGGCACATCTCCCCCTGACCTGCTGCAGCAGCCACTAAAGTCGCAGATCTTCCTTTCTGCCAGCCCCAGCTCCTTTACCCACGGCAGGAGGCTTGCAAATTGCAATTATTGTTTCCTTTCTTCCTTGATGGGGACTGAAGTATACGATTTTTTTACTGTTAGCCTTTAAATAACTCTAGCAATCAATGGATGTTCTGTTAGGAAGGGGTTTTTTTTGTTTTTGTTTTTTTTTTTTTTTTTTTTGTTTGAAGACTAACAGTAAATCATGGAAGCCTCCTGACACACGGAATTTTAAAGAGGGGACAATAATCCCAATGTGGAAATTTTAGAACATTTGAAGCCCTGATGGTGCCCTTGCAAAGGAGATCTTTAAGCTGGTTTGTGAGTCATCTGTCTTCCAGCAACCTCTGTTGTCGGGCAACCCAGTGGTTACAAATATCTGGACACAAAACTACTGGTCATTAGCATCCTGATAAATGGCCGATGCCTCCCTGTACTATCTGAACCCATAAAAGTACCACTGCAGCATGGATTTTAAAAAAAAAATCTTCTAAAACTTAGTATTTGTGGGGGGTTGACCTTGTCTGGATGCCAGCTGCCCACCAAAGCTGCTCCATCTCTCCTCTTTTCATTTGGACAGGAGAGAGAAAATGTAACAGGAGGCTTGTGGGTCGAGAAAAGGACAGGGAGAGATCACTCAGCAATTACTGTCATGGGCAAAACAGACTCAGTTTGGGGAAATCAATTCAAAGTATTGCCAATTAAATCAGAGTAGGACAATGAGAAATAAAACTAAATGATAAAACACCTTCTCCCCACCCTTCCCTTCTTCCTGGGCTGGACTTCACTGACAATTTTCGCTGCCTCCCCGTTCACAGGGGCGCAGGGGGATGGAGAAGGGGGGTTATGGTCAGTTCCTTGCACATTGTCTCTGCAGGTTCTTCCTCCTCAGGGGAAGGACTCTTCCCGTGCTTCCCCTCTCCTTCCAGCATGGAGTCCCTCTGGCAGGAGCCAGCCCCTCATGAGCTTCTTGAGGGGCTTGGCCTTCCTACAGGTTGCAGATCTTCAGGAACCATTCCAGAGTGCCTCCCAGAGTGCCTTCCATGGGTACATCCTCCTGAGGCACAGGCTGCTCCAGTGTGGGTCCCCCATGGGGTCACAAGTGCTGGCAGCAATCCTGCTCCAGCGTGGGCTTCTCTCTCTAGCAGAACACCAGCACAGTGCTCCCAGGGGGTCACAGGCTTCTTTGGGCATCCCCTGCTCTGGCCTGGGCTCCCCCCGGGCTGCAGCTGCATCCCTGCTGCCCAGGACCCGCTGTGCTGCAGGGCACAGCCGCCCCTCCATGGGCAGCACCAGGGGCTGCAGGGGAACCTCTGCTCCACACCTGGAGCACCTCCTGCCCCTCCTTCTGCACCCCCCTGCTGTCTGCAGGGCTGCTCCTCTCACTGACTCCTACTCCTCTTTCAGCTGCTGCTGCACAGCAGTTTTTTCCCTTTCTAAAATCTGTTATGCCAGAGGCACTGCCACTGTCCCTGCTGGGCTCAGCCTTGGCCGGTGGCGGGTCCATCCTGGGGGGTGGCACCGGCTCTGCTGCAAGTGGGGGAAGCTTCCCACAGCCTCTCACAGAAGCCACCCCTGCAGCCCCCCTGCTGCCAAAACCTTGCCATTCAAACCCAATACTCAATTTTTCAGGGATTATTAATCTTTAGAGGCCTGGACTTTGGCGATGAACAGAAACTTTTAATGCTGTTTATCTAGCAGACACATTCATTTGTTTCCCCAGAGCCATTACTTGCTGTGCCATTCTCAATGTATCGCTGTGCCTTGATCTATCCACAGTCCCTGATTGTTATCTGCAAGTCTCATTACACCAGAAGGACAATACCCCCAGGAAACCGAGACCATTTTCATACAGGACTACATCATTCTGACTCTTAACTCTAATTCAATCCTACACTCCTGCTTTTAAACCTACATTTCACTTTAATGTGTAAATTATCCACTGCTTTAAAGAATCACTGCTAGATAATGCATTCTATTGTTATTTTTTAATGCAGATTTAAGTGGATATAATGCAAAGATCATTAATGAAACCCAAAGGGTGGTGTGTTTTCTTTCTTCCAGCTATTGGGTGGTTTGGGTTTTAGTGGGTGTTTTTTACTTTTTTTTTTTTTTCTTCATTTGTTATGTGTTAAATTCCTTTTTGACATACCCTGGTAGAAATAAACCAAAAAGGACAAAAGAAATTCCATATTGGATAAATGGAAAGAACAAAGAAGAAAACATAAAAAAGATAAATGGATACACTTACTAAACTAACCCTACAGCCATCTAAAATGGCTGATTAATAACTGTCCTCATACAGCCTACACTGCAGATACTTTCTAACAAGTACAGTAAGCACAAGACATGTTTATTGAATATTGAAAAATATAAAATTGATATAAAACATGATTAGTAGGAAGGACAACTGTTAAGAGTTGGTTTCAGAGAAACTAAATTTGCAGGATTTATGAGTTCCCTTCAAGAGACTAATAGATGTTTAGACAACTAGAGAGAGGAAAAAAATTGGATTTTGGCATTTCTTTAGCAGTTCCAAGCTTATCACTTGGGGTCTATAATTCTTCTTAGCCCGTTCTGCTAAATGAAGAATATGTCATCCTATTCAGTTCCAAAACTCAAAGTCTAAACAACTAAACATACCAGCTTCTAAAATGCATCACACTCTTCTGGCAGATGGAATAATTAAAGAGAAATTGAGTATAGTATCAACCAGAAATATATGGTAGCCAGAGAAGTGAGGAAATAAATTAGAAATACACAGTACATGCAAATGTAGAATGCTGAACATTTCAAATAACCTGCTCCCAGAGATTATTGGTTAGAAAAAGTAGTGTTTTACAGAACACAAAGGACTGGATGGTGTTGCACAATTTTAAAATGTGCTTAATATTCTGAAGACATGGGTCACAGTAGCTTGTACTGTTTAATGTTTCCATTAACTCTCATTTATAAGCAAGTACCATCTGATTGCACTCAAAGCTCAATAAGGACTTTTAAAGATTGCCAGCAACCTTAATTCAAGGTGACTATTTCACTATCATATCTAGAAAGGTACTTTAGCTTCAAAGCCTTGAGACAGAAGAGCTCTGTATCTACAGCTCTCCAAAACACTGTCTGGATGGTCTGAAGGTGAAATTAGGCACTCTTGAGTGAGAGGTCTATCTAAATACCCATATGATCTATTTTGCTCTATGTAATTGTTCACCTCAGAAGCACCCAGACTGGAGATTAAAGAGCATATTTGTTATTAAGATCAGGACAGCTATTAATAAAGGCCAATTTGGAGGCTATGTTAAAATTACAATGAATGCTGCCAATGAGGGCAAATCAAAGAGAAAACTGCCTGTATCAGAAAGCTGCCTCCAGGGGTGTTATGAATTCATTTTATTTCCTATTCTTCTCTGACCCAGCTGACATTATTATTGAATATACACGTACTTGTTTGTCTTTTCATCCATAGCTAATGCAAAACACCACTTTAGGGAAAGAATGGGATTAAGTAGGATTTTTTATTTCATTATTAGAGAAATGCCATTTACTATAACAGCAGAAGTTGTGTCAGCACATTTATTATAATCTACAATTTTCAGAGGTTTGTAATTTGGAATGTGAAATTATTGCGAAGCAGAAATGTTGGGACAAAGCAACACATTTATCTGTGGTGTAAGTAGGGGCAATCTCATTGACTGACTACAATACCCACTTCCTCAAGGGATAAATTTGCTCCCAAAGCAGATTGTTCCTACATTACACATTTAGCTAGACAAATGGCTGAACAAGGGCTTTATTAGGGTTAGTTCTCTAAAAGTCACACTAGAAATAGTAAGAACATGAACACTGAAATGGGACTTGTAGCCCATCATGACTTTTGATGTTTTGTGCACACCAGACCTCCTGATTTGGGATCCTTTCAACAAGCATGTGAGGATTTGGAGACGACATGAGA